GAACGTTTCCCAAACGGGAAATCTTCACAAGGCCGCGGATTCTTGGAACTTCACCGTCTTCAGCCATGATGTCAAGATAACCTTCTGTTCGAGGGGTTTCTATATTGGGAGTGTATAATTAAACACACAAGTATTAAAACAAAACAGAGGCAAGCAGACCATGGATATTATCCAGACCCGGCTTTAGAGACAAGCAGAGTCTGCAACTTTCCCCCTCCACTCTCTATTCTCTGTCCACTTGGCAGTCTAGCTTCACCTTAGGCTGATTTTGAGGTTTATTTTTTTTTAATATTCTGTTTTTCCTTTTGGGGGGGCTCACAAAGGATAACCTCTCAGCTCCTTTAAATTCTTGGATTCCTCCATGGGTGGGTGGGTGTGGACCGCTCTCCCATCCACACCAGGTAGTATTCTGCTTCTTCCATGGACTGGATGGGGATGATCAGCAGCCCTCGAGGGTCTCGGCCAGCCTGGAGAGTCTACCCGCCCTGGACTCTGAGGATGGTCAAAGTTTGTTTATTCGTTCGCTTGCTTGTTTTTTCACTCGTTTGTTCGTTGGCTTGCTTATTTGTTCGTTCATTCATTTGTTCGTTCACTTGTTTGTTTGTTCGCTTGCTTGTTTGTTTGCTCATTCGTTTCTTCATTTGCTTGCTTATTTGTTTGTTCATTTGTTTGTTCGCTTGCTTGTTTGTTTGTTCGTTCGTCTGTTCGCTTGCTTATTTGTTCATTCGTTTGTTCGTTCGCTTGTTTGTTCGTTCATTTGTTCGTTCGTTGGCTTGCCAGCTTGCCACCTCCTCTTGCCTGCTTCTGAACCAGGTTCCTTCCGGGAGGGAGGGAGGGAGGGAAAGAAAGAGGAGACACCTCTTTTCCCCCCACCCCCAACGCCTTTCAAGGGTCTGAGATGGGTTTCGGTGTCTGACATGCCTGCATTCCAAAGGTTATTAATAGAGACCAGCCGGGGTGGAGACCTTCTCTGGTGGAGGAAGCTGAGGATTTTTGGGGGGGAGGAGGTAAAAGGGTTGTAGAAGAATGTCACTCTTTCTGAAAGCCAGGGGTGTGCAGCTATTTCTGAAGGCTGGCCGTGGGCGAGCTAATCCTCCAGGAGCAGCCGAAAAGGAAGAAATTCTCTCCTGCTGCTGTCTAGTTTCGCCAGCTTTCAGGGGCCCCAGCGAAAGCCTCGGGGAACCGCGGTGCTACCTGGGACCCCTTCCCAGGGCAGTAAGATGAACCTCCATGCAAGCAGAGCTGGAACAGCAGAAAACATGATTTGTGTGCAAGAAGTGGCTTTAGCTCCCAGGTGCCCGACGTCCTCCAAAGTATTGGCATCCGGTGCATCCTTTCACCTGTCCGTCCACCAAATACGATTTTTCTTCTCTGGCTCTCGATGGCTGACAAGGTTTACCTGTTTACCTGGATTGCCCAGACCCTCCTTTGGTGCACATTTCCAAAATCCGTTCATAAGAAGGTAGCGCTGGTCTCTCTCTCATCCTTCCCTGCCCTCCCATGGTGCTATCACAAGGATCCACACCCGGGTCACACGTTTTCACCTTGATATATCAGGAACTGGGATGCTGCTCACCTGGCGTCTCTTCCTCCTCCCTTTGCCCCAAACAAATCTTGTACCAAGTAATGAGGGGCTGCTTTTTTTGAAGGAGGGAAACCAGAAAGGCCCTGGGCAGAATAGGTCTCACACCATTTTCTTCTGCCCTGTAAAACCTGTTTTGTAGCACTTGGTTAACCATTTGGCTGCCTGGGCAGAGAGACAGGTGACGTGCCAGCTGCATTCTTAGGTCAAAAAGAGGGGGAACGGTAGCCCCAGGGTGTAGTAAATATTATGTTCATTTATTAAATTCATGTATACTGTGTATACTCGAGTATAAGCCTAGTTTTTCAGCACATTTTCTTTTGCTGAAAAAGCACCCCCTTCAGCTTATACTCAAGTCGGTAAGTTTTCCAAGTTTCTTGTGGTAAAATTGGGTGCCTCGGCTTATATTCGAGTCGGCTTATACTCGAGTATATACAGTATATGTGTTTATTTAATGATCTTGTCCTCAACAATTTATAATGTTGTGACTGTAAATTTGCGGTAATGCCATGGCATCGTGTGATATCCCATGACAACATTCCTGCTGCTGTGCAAAATATTTTGGGAGGTTGTGATCTTCAGTGGGCAATTAAGATCCATTAGCTTCACAAAACACATGCTCCTTCCTTTTCCTTTTCTTGTTGTTTGAGGCATTTTAAAAAAGGCCTGCAAAGGGTCTATGCCAGGTTTGGCCACAGCAAACCAGCCTCCTATCAGGAAGTGTGTTGATTTTTGCCGCTGGGGCTACAAAAGCTTCGGTGTAAAGCTTATGCCAGGTTGGCAGCTTAAGGGCTCAGCAAATGGTTCCCTCCTCTCCAGATGCCGGGTGGTACCCTTGCTGGAAGCTGCTCTTCTTGTTTCTCATGGAAAGTCATTTTTTGTTGTTGTTTAGTTGTCTAGTCGTGTCCGACTCTTTGTGACCCCATGG